GGGGTGGTTATTGTGTCCTCTGCGAGCCCGAAAATAACGGATCAGTAACGCAAAAAGAGGCTACAAGTTACAACAACAAAAAAAGTTCTATGAAGTGTGAATAAGCGAAGGTGTGATAGCGAATGGGTTGGGGAGGGGGGGTTGTTTGTTTGTTTGTTTGTTTGTTTGTTTGTCTGTTTGTTTGTTGTTTTGTTTTGGTTGGGGCTTTTTTTAGGGGAGTATGAAAAGAATTGACTTCAAGCTGGGGAAGTAAAGGCGGCGTGGAAAGGAACTGGCTACCCTACCACAATATGCCGAAGGCCCAGGAAGTTGTCTCAGTAACAAGGCAATCCCCAATGTCCTGATCGGATGCAGGAACAACTTTACTTTTTATGGAAAGAAATGAAGAATGAGGAGGACGTTGGGTCTGGCTGGCAGGATAGAAGAAGCCAGTCTTCTAAATTGTCTAAATTGTATCGATTGGAGCGTAAAACGATTCTAACGTAATGCGGAGATTATGTAAGAGATCGGCGATAACTCTAAACATCCAAAGTGGGCTCTGGCAATCCGATTCTGTGGATTGATTCAGGGTCAAAGAGATTTTCCTGCATGGTCAGGGCAAAAGCTATAATTCTGATGGCGCGAGACGACCAAATTCCATCAAATTATCTAATTCGACTTTAAAATGAAAAACAATTTTGGTTGTAACTGTTGTTGTTGTTGCTGTTGTTGTTGTTGTTGTGGGTGAAAAAAATACCAACCAAAAAAACAGAAAAAACCCACCAGGGTTTTGGTTGGTATTTTTTTACGGTCGCGAGTCGAATCAGTCGCATTGTGCCAGAATAGTAACTTTTGTTCTGTTCATAAAGGACAGACTGATTGGCTTTGATTCAATCAAATTTATCATTCAATTGGCAGGGTAGGGTGCAGTGGGTATAAGGAAACACAAGAGAACTGATAGTATTGTGTTCTATTGTACTCCTGTGGCGATTAACGGAACAGAGATCGAAGATGCCACTGACATTTATAATTCACAACCACTGGGCGAGGTGAATATTTCATGAAACTAGCGCTGTTGATTTCTACTCTTATCAGTTGACAGTTCTTGGTGTTGGATCATGTTTCAGAAGCAACGTTATCTCTGCTCGCGAGGTTCTGGACTCCAGGTGTCGTCGTCTTGGGTCTGAACCCGTTTCTGAATATAAATGTATAGATTTCTGGAAAAGTGACAAGGTTCTTTTTTTTTTTTGTTGGAGAAAGGTGTTAGTTGTGAGCTTTAGTACGTAAAGGTAAGTTACGTAGAAAGTGTAAAATCACAGCTCAGGACTTGATACAAGTACTTTGACCTACAGCCGCTTTGAGTTCAATTTGGTTGTTTTTTTTCGTTATTTCAAAGCTGATAACGAATTAGGCTAATGTTTAATGTTTAAAATGGCCTTAAAGAAAGTTTTCGCAATCTTTACTTAACGCTCTATTTTTCCGACCAATGTTACACAACGGTGTTGAGAGGCAACGTCTTGATCTTGTTTGTTGTATTGCCTCTTTCATTGCTATGTTATTCTTGGCTAATGGTTTTTCTTTTTGCCCCCCCCCCCCACCATCCCCGTATCTATCTTGTCCTGGGCCTGCTCCCTCCTTTGTTTTAATCTGATCTCTGTTATATCATGATGCTCTCGCTGCTATACTGTCTGGTGGTAGTCTTGGCAGATGCCCAAACCATGATTTCATATCATGTTTTTTAATGATATAAGTCTTGCAAGCAGGAATTTTAGCCAACTGTAATATGTTATGATATGTGAATAAAATCTTCGCATGAGAGAACTTTCTGAGGACATCTTTTGACCACGATTGCACATTTGGACACGTTTCCATTTAGCATTCATATCTTGGAGTGCCAGATCCGAAACAGATAATATTAATAGCGATAAGCTTGGATGCTCTTAAGAAATAAAACGTTTATGTTACCCTGGTCTTTCTCCGTCGTCCATCTGTTCACGTTCTCTGTAAGTTGTCTTTGGTCTACTCCTGCATCTATCGGCCAGATATTTTTTCACTCGTTAAAGGAAAATATCACTGGTCGAACCTTTTGGAAATGTCTTCTGTATGTGAAGTAGTCCTTGAAAAGCTCATTAAGTTTTTGATTATCTAAACTGCCTTACATTAGCAAATGTTTTAACAGAAGATACTTGGAATATCTGGAGGTCTCATCTCTGACTGGGAGGTTGACGTGTAATGACACTCCAAACCTTTCACGGTCGTGAGCTGCCGTTGCACATTCTACTATACTCAAGCCAGTCCATGTTTGAAAAAAAAAAAAGAAGAAAGATAGACGATAAGAAACCAGAATTAGTCATGTGTCTGTTCAACCTGTGATGACCTGCAGGCCAACAGCCAACAAGGAACAGCGGGTGAGATTCTAATTACCAGGAACTAAGGGGAAGACGTGTAAAAATGAAAACCCTTGTTTCCATCGAGAAAACAGCTGGGTGAAAAAAAGACAAATGACAAAAGCAATAAAATTAAAACAAAACCAAAAACTCCCAAAAACCCCACAAAAACCCCCCACAAAACCCCCCACAAAAACCCCCACAAAAACATATACAGATGAAAGAAAGAAAAACACAGGCGAAAGAAAAATCTTCCACACACACACACAAAATTGAGCCAATTTTCCCCAAGGAGTTTTCTTTTTTGTTTGTTATTTCATTTTGTTTTCTTTCATCCTGTCTTAATCTGATGTGGTTTCACTTTAAGCTTCAATAATTGCAGTATCACCTCAGATAAACCCATCTCCAAGCAGACACCACCGGTTTTGACAACTTTAAGGCTATAGCAATAAAACTTCATTAACTCCAGTTTTATGCAACACGTTCTCATGCGAACATTATCTCTCTTTTTTTTTTGGGGGGGGGGGGGGAGTAATTTTGTTGTTTCATACCAGATTTATCCACTTCAACCTGTTTTAACACCGCCCCTCCACCCCCCCCCCACACACACACCCGCACAGACCTCCTCTTTTCCACCTTTTTTAAGTGCTGCCATATCAAATTCTTTTTTCCTTTTTAAAAAAATGTTGCTGGTCTTTTAGTGTTCTTTCATTTAACTTTTCATCTAGTCTTTCTCCATCATTCCCTTCATCACATTCGTTTCGATCTCTCCATTCCTCAGTTCCAACGATTCCTTCTTCTCTCCTTCCTTCCACAACGTCTCCCTTCTTTCACTATCTCTCCATCTCTCCTTCCCTCCTTCTACCATGTCTCTATCTCTCCCTCCACCATCTCTCCCTCCTTCCATTATCCCTCTCACCTTCCACCATCTCTCCATCTCTCCCTCCTTCTACCATCTCTCCATCTCTCCCTTCTTCTACCATCTCTCCATCTCTCCCTCCTCCCACCTGCCTCATGTCCCGTCAATCAGCGCGGCTGTGACCCCTCCCACCTCTCACCCCCCAACATCGGCCGCTCTCCCCGCCCACCCCAAAGACCGACGACACACACACACAAGGAGGCGAGGCGCGGTCCCACAGAGAAACCTGGCTCTGTTTCCACGTCCTCCCTCTACTCTCTAGCCCGGCCTCGTTATCGGAAAAGACCCAACCTCTCTCCCACCCTCTCGTCTGTCCATCCACATCCAACCAACCAACCAAACGTCATCATCATCCTCCTCCCCTCCTCCGTCCTCCTCCTCTCGTCGCACGCCGCCGCTTGGTAGAGGTAGCAAAAGTCGTGGTGGTGGTGTTGGTGTTGGTGGTGGTGACGGTGGTAGCGGTTGTCGTTGTTGTAGTCGTCATTGCAGAGGTGGCAGCTCTCTCGCTTCGGTGTCGCGTGCTGGTGCCAGCCGCCCCCATCGTCCGTTCATCCGTCCGTCTAGCCTACTTGTCACCAGTTTTTTTTCCCCGGCTTCCTCTCTCCCTCCTTCCCTCCCTCCCCTCTCTCTTCATCCGCCTCTCCCCCCTCTCTCTCCTCCCCCCTCTCTCTCTCTCGCCAGCTCGTGCCCTGTGGTACAATAAGTGTCGCCGTCTCTCTGACTACCAGCCAATACTGTTGGGAACTTTCGCACTGACGGTCGCTCGGGCGACGTCTCCACCGTTTCGTTATCTCAGCCAGGCGAGAAGTGTTGGCGCTTCCTCTGTGTGTACTCACTACTTAGCCCCAACAAACAAAGGTGGATCGCATTACTGGAAACACCTTTCAACTCAACAAACACGGTGCTAGGCAGCTATCCACTTTTCGGGATTTCGAGAGATTGATCAGTATACTTTGTCAGTATACCGTTCCTTTTTTTTGTGGACTTCACTTTTCAACGCAATCGACGACCAAATCATACAGTTGATCATCGCATAACAGAAGACTTGGCTCAATAACTGCACCAGAAACTACAAAAGCTACTTCAATAAAAGACCAAATACTGATATTAGATCACTGGGCTCGCTCTACTTTTTCTCCATTCAAGGATCTTTGAATTGCAGTCGGCACGCGCCGTCTAGTGCTCGAGTCGTGAGTCGAGGGGAAATCCCTTCTTCAAGGTCGAGTGGACATTGTAGCCAGAGACAGGCAGTGGGTGAGCGTGTGTGTGTGACACAGATACACGGGCCATCAGTCTCCCCCTGATCCGAGATCGTAATGCTGCTTCACTTCCAACCCGAAAGTCCAACTTTCGACCAGAGCTTGGACCGTTTCGACCACTTCTCTTCCGATATGGAGGCAATGTCTGTGAGCACAGATGACCAGTCCATTTCCGATTTCTGTGTGGACTCGGTCATGTCTCAGCAATCAGAGACAGACAAGCAGAGCCCGGAGGACAGACAAGAGCAGAGACAGACACAGACACACAAGGACTCATCGTCTACGGGAACACCCAAGAAGAAAAGGATTAGGAAAACTCGCGCGAAAATAAAAAGTCCAGAGGTGAGTAGTTACTTATTATAAGAATGTTTTCTTGTTCTTGTTCTTTTCCGTCGTTGTCAAAGTCGTAGTTGCCGCATTCCCTCTGGGACAATAGACTACATGTATTATCTTACCTTATCTTATCGTAATAGATCTAGTAGTGGTAGTAGTAGTAATAGTAGCAGTAGCATCAGCAGCTGCTGTGACAGTAGAATACTATCCAAACCTACTTTCCCCGATGTGCGTATTACCATTATAGCCGCTGGCGTCTAAGTAGATCACAAGCAAGCAAAACCCACTCACTGCTCATGCCTTAGTGTCTGGGGGGGGGGCGTTTATTAAATAACAATACCAAGTCGATAAAGGCTGTATGCATCAGTGCGGGCTCCGTGTGAGTGAGTCTTTTATAGGTGCACTGGAGAAAATTTAACAGTGGAATCAAGTGGGACTGGTAAAAATCACGGGGATTTTTTTTTCTTAGAGGCTTTTCTATTGTTAATTTTTGTTTCCAAAGTTGCAAAAATACATTATTCAATTAAATGCGACAGCATGTCTGAAGCACACAGGAGGATTGTTCTATTCTATCCCAGCTACACTCACTTTATAGATGTTTCGGTGTAAAATTGTCGCACACTTCATCTCCTTAAATGAAGAATAAAATAACCGTGGTTTTATCACAGAAAATAAGGGAAAGGAAATTCTTTTACGTAATATTATGGTGTAGAGGGATAGGCTATAGTGGAAGGCCTCTAATTCCAAACACTAAAATCCCCTATTTAGAAACTTGCTATTCTTAAAATCGATGTCCGAGTGGTGAGATTGTGTATTCGGTGTATCAGTCTTTTGTCTGGGATGTTGTATCCCTCTCAACCCAGGCTGGCCCTGAAAAGTCGGGTCAGAGACCTACAGGATCTAAAGCTCCGATGGTGGTGTAAGAACACATATATTTTTTTATAACAGTAGTGTACCCATTCCCCTCTCCTGCTTGTTTGTCTATTTGTTTTCTCTCTCCCTCCCTCCCCCTCCCCCCTCC